GAATAATTTTAATCATGTAATATAAAAAAGTAGCTTTATTATGACCATTTTAAAATGTAATGCAATTATTTTTTAGTAATAACATTTTTGGAACTCAGTTATATATTCCAGATTACATTAAATCCAACTGCTATCAGCTTATCTTTCCATTATCTACTTAAAGAGATCATTCACCCCCAAAATAAAAATGATTCACTCACCCTCATTACATATGTTCCAAACCTGTAGGAGTTTCTTTCTTCTGTTCTGTTCACAAAAGAAGATATCTTGAAGAAAGCTGGTGACCTGTAACCATTGACTTTTTATGCTGCAGTATTTGTATTTCCTACTATGAAAGTCAATGGTTACAGGTTTTCAGCTTTCTTCAAAATTAAAGTAATACAGGTTTGGATCAACTTGAGTAAATGGGGAGTAAATATTTCTTTTTGGATGAACTGCACTTTTAAATCTGAGTTTTGAGCTAGTATTTTCTAACCCTGAATTTACCCTCACACAAACTATTCTTCATTTTCATGAAGACGTTATTTAACATGTTTATTAAGCCGTTTCTCAGCTGGGAGCTGTTGGCTGCTTCCCACAGTGTAGGTAATATCAGGTTTTACTATCCTTTTGGGGACATTTGCTCGACACAATGTAGGCAAAACTCTCTCACTCTATCTGCCTCTATCCGTCTCTCCCTCAGCAGAGAGCATAAACTGCTGTCTCGGTCAGATGGTTTCTTCTTTATGAGTTTTTGCTTCCAGGGAATGCAGAGACCTGAGGGATTTTATCTCTTCTTTTTAATCCCCCCATCCTTCCTTTATCATTTGCCCCCCTGTGTGCTATGTATCCCTCTGTTTTTTCTCTGTTCCCCTGTGCAATGGCTTTGCTGTCCTGTGCACCACCTATTTTTATGCACTTGTTTTGTTTTGATTTTTCTGCTTTCCTTTCCATTTTAGATTTATATTTATGGCTCACTGTGCTTAATGTCTTCTCCACTCTTTCTCTCTATCTCTCTTTCTCTCTCTCTTTCTCTCTCTGTCGTCTCTATAGTTTCCTGTGTTTCTCTCGTCTCGTTCTGATTAAGGGTGAGCTATAGTCTAGCTTATTAACTCTGACAGTAATGGACAATTTTCTTGGCCTTTTCTTAATAGTGTGTGTGTGTGTGTGTGTGTGTGTGTGTGTGTGTGTGTGTGTGTGTGTGTGTGTGTGTGTGTGTGTGTGTGTGTGTCAGGAGGGTCTCAAGGCTTATAAGATCTCCTGCTTTGTGGCTAGACTTGTATCTTAAAGTTCCTGAGGGTTTTTTATTCTAAATCTGGCTTTTCTGATCATACCATGTATCACTTTACAATTATTGTACATTTAAGATAAGACACTACAGGAGAATAGGTAAAAAAAATGTTACCACCATCCTGATTGCATTCACAAATCCAGGGTTCTCTACAAAGGCAAATGACAGGTCACTCATTGCGATAATTTGTGCTATTTTGGCTGTGATGGCCCTCTTCAAACTCTCCTGCAGCGTGAGCTAACTGGTCTTCGGTTGGGTTGCCTGCATGGGTAAACTTTCTGTATTCTGTCTGGTGTTTGTTTTTGAGGTGCCTCATCAGGTTTGTTGTGTTAAATGTAGCCTTTTCCTTACCACCTCTTGCAATCCCAAGGTTACACATCTCACAGTTTACTATGGCATCAACTTTAAAATACTTCCAGACCACAGACATACTCACGCTTTCCACCTTAAGCTGCTTCGGTGTTCCATTAACGTCTCTGCAACAAAGTGATGTCATGCTGCACGCATTGCTGTTTCTGTCTGAAGCCAAGAAAGAGGTCTAGCTGTGTGCTACCGCATAACTATAGATGTGTTAAAAAATAATGAGAATATATTTATTGGAGTCCTGATTGGGAGGTAGCATTCGATTCCGATCGAGTTTGAAACCGCGTGATGAGGCCCAATTTCTGATCACATGATTGGATCTTGACATCCCTATTATTTATGAACATTTCCCTCTGTAACCTTCTGAATATAGATATGCATGTGTAAAGTTTGGTGTAAGTGCTACTGATGTGGAGGAAGAATTAGGAAGAATGCAAAGATGTGTTGAAATAACAAATACAAAGTGTAAGACAAAAAACGTATATCAAAAGAAACCCTTAAAAGTGTATTATTTTAAATGTATTGTTACATTATTTTTAGAATAGATGGATAAATCTATTTATAATAACCCAAAAAGTCCAAAATCTTAATTGACAGGTGCTTGAAGACAGTTAGTAGTGTCTGAAGAGTCTCGCCTTTAGAATTAAAGTGGAAAAAGCTTGAATGTTTGTTTGTATTCAAGTCTTAAAATGTGCTTTTTTTGGTAACACCATACTGTTGGTGAACATATGTCTTGGATAAATATGTATTATTTCATGATTAAGCATTTTCAGTTATTTTTATTAAAAAAAAAAAAATATATATATATATATATATATATATATATATATATATATATATATAAAATGTACATAATTACTTAACTGTTGTTTAGAGCATTAAGTGCAGTTTGTTCTAATCTTTGTAAACATACTATTGATAAATAAGGTATATGTTATTAGAAGATGATGACGGTTAGGAATTGGGGTCGCATGGGAGTGGAATTTAGATTATGATGGAAGGCTACTTTTACAGTTAGTTTTCCCATAATCATGGAAAACCTGGAAATAGTCTGGTCCAGTTTCCATGGTGACACCGCTCATGACGGATTTTTAAGCTGTGAGGTCACAATACATCCACACTGCCCACACTGCTTTTCTGTCCCAAACAAATACCTCTGTTTTGACTCACATAATAACCTATTATCTAGAGTCAACATTATTCCTCTAATCTGAAACACTCTCTCTCTCTTTTCAACTATTTCTTAAAGCGGTATTCAGTGTTGAAAGTTACATGGATTGCTGGCTAATATTTGTCCACACTGATGATGAATGGAGCTTTGCTACTTGACAAGCAGTTCTATATTAGGAAAAGTGTTCAAAAGTATTCTATTTTTTTTATATTTTATTACAAGTCTCTGCTTACCAAGGCTACATTCATTTGGTCTTTTTTTGTTTAATAATTCTGCTCTTTTAAAACATTTTAAAATGTCATGTATTTTCTGTGGTTTTCTGCAGCTCATGATTCTTTAGAAATCATTCTAATATGTTGATGTTCTGCTCAAGAACCATTATAATCATTGCTTATGTTCAAAGAAAATTTTTTAGGACAACAGTATTTCCAGCAGAAAAGATCTTTTTTAATCCAGATCAGAAAAGAACCGTTTTAAATTGTAAGTTCAATTGAAAGTAATGAAGACAGCAGAAGTCAATGATTCATTTGAATTATTTAGCCTGACATTTACTGCTCCTAAATATTTTAAAAGTATCTTAAACTAAAATATATTGTGATCAAAGGGGTAAAAGGTTAAAAAAATGTAGACATTTAAAAAGTAGCTATTTTAGAGCAGTAATCACCTGTATACAGTGTGGTATTTTTATTTAAGATTATTAGACTGTCAGAATCTTGAAAATATTGTAGAAGTATTTACAATGACTCTTGATAATTTTTTGCTCTATTAAAAAATATGTATTCATTTGTTTCATAAAGTCTTTCTAACTCCATACTTTTATTATAACTCAGAGTAATAATAATAACAGCTTGGTGGGTTAATCGGAGCATCTGGATTTATAAAGAAGAAAAAGAGAACAAGTAACTCTGAGTAACTTCAGGTTTTGGTTTGGAGTACATATTTGACAGTAGGTTTTGTGTCAGGTTGCAGGGTCTTATTTATGTGCCAGGCTTTGTTTTTGATGCCAGCACAAACTTTTCTTCTAGTCATCATTTCAGCCACATAACTGAACGAATCCTCAGACAAAAGAGAAACCGATATAGAGCCTGTCAATCTATTTTTATTATTATTTTTTTAAACCAAATTCCATTTTATTTTGTACACTTTTTGTTACATTATTTTATAGGGTTCTTTTCTAACCTTTATAAATACATTATAAATATTTAAAGTGTGCTTTGCTTGTTTTTGGCAAGGGACATTGATTGATTTCCAAAACAGCACAGTATCATAGAATCTTAGGAACAGTCTTAGGAATGAATTTTAGAAATATGGAAGTGGGATGCATCTTATTTCGAAAGAGAATATAGATTTCTATATTTTTGTATTACTTTATTGTATATGAGTCATGAGGAGATATATTTATTAAAGTCGCTGTGAAATATAAGCTGCAGAGACTTTTATTTGAGCATGTTGATGTACAGTACCTCTAACTGGGCTTTTTTGTGCGTGCTTTCCTCAAAGAAAACACTAAGAGGAGTGTGCAGGATATTGTGACTGGAGCCATCAAACTGACATTAACAGAAAAGGATAACGAACTTAAAATGACTAAGCAAATGGTCAGACTTTGATTGGAGAGTATTACAAAATTTTAAAAAAATCTGTGGATTATTTGTTCAGCACGGATTAATTGTTAACCTAATGAATAACAATATGCACTGGCAAAGTAAATAATGCAGGTTTGGATTTCACATGGACTTTAATGAGAATTCTATGATGATATTAGTTTTTCACAGACAAAAGGCTTTCAGGCACAGTCTACATGGAGCCGAACATGACTCACCGCTGTAAATAGAGACTGAGACACACACTCTGAATCCTATTTAGGATGCAGGCTGAACTGTGTGTGTGTGTGTGAATGTCAACAGCAAGTAGACTGATTTTTCTGTCTAAGTCCCATTTGCTGGTTTTGATAGGCTCCCTGCCAAATAGCTTTGATCAGAGCAGCTCTCACTTCAGCACTAGCATCTCTCCTTCCTTCTCCTTTTCTTTTCTTTCATATTCTGACAGACATCAGCAGCACAACCTCTTCAATTATAATGACAGACCCTCCATCTACTCTGCTCTCTTTTTCCATTTCTGTGTCAGACTAATAGTAGATTTTCTTACACTTTTTTAACGTGTGTGTGTGTGTGTGTGTGTTTGTGTGTTTTGGTTTAGGACTTCCTGACAGATCTGATGATGTCAGAGGTGGATCGATGCGGAGAGAACGAGCACCTGATATTCAGAGAAAACACACTGGGCACTAAAGCCATCGAGGAGTATCTCAAACTGGTCGGACAGAAATATCTGCAGGACGCGCTGGGTAAGGTGTTAGTGGAAAGCAATGTATTTTTCTGACAACATGATGACCCCCTCCAAGTTACTAAGTGACAGAAGCACTGACATAAACGTTAAATAAAAATATAAAACATATATGCCGGCGTTTATCCTGCCAGACTTAAACTTGGCCATTTTATCAGCTCAAACACATTCCGTGCAGCACTAGAAACATTTTACAAGTTTTTTTTTATGCTGAGTTTCCCATATTCTTTTTAAATAAGATTATGAAAACACATTTACTGTATCCTGCTTGGCTGTAAGCTTGCTTAGTATCAGATAATGCCTTTTTATTAATACCTCTGTAGTTTAGGGATAAGATGTTTAAATGTCTGGACTAGCAATTCATCAGCAAAACAAAAATGCACGCTGCAAATCTCACAACGTGTGTAAATCTACTAAGCATATGTGTGAATGTGATTAAATGCAGTGCAGAGAGTGAATCTCTCTTTAGATTTGCATTAAGAAGCCATTTGGTGGTGCTGAATAATGTATAGTTGTTTTTCTTAGATAAATGTGACTTGTGAAGTGCTTCTGAATTATTAAATGGTTCACTCCTAAAGACTGACTAAGTCCCTCAGCAGAGCGAGAGTTGGGCGGCAAAAAGAGCGCATTACACCGCAAGGTTATATAAAGAGTGTAAATGCACAAGGGATGCACCTTTTGGTCATTTCATCCAGTCTAGTTCACCGAGTACTCTAGTGCTTAGGTTGTAAAAACATTTCTCTTTTTTGAAATCAGTGTCCAAGATACTGTGGGAAATCTATTAACAGAATTAAAGAGGCAGCTTGCCCAAAATTAAAAAAAATAATAATAAAATCTTGAATCATTTATTAACCTTTCTCCTTTTCTAAATCTGTATGAGTTTCTTTATTCTGTTGATCATAAAATAATATATTTAAAAAATTACTGAAATGTTGTGTTGTAGGTCTTCAATCTTTTTTAAACAGTTAAAACAGGTTTTAATTTTCATTTGTTCATATATAGCTACTCAATCTGGCCAAAACCTATACAATCACCAACAATCCATCTTAATAAAACTTTTTATTTAAAAAGGTCTTTTTAAACTCTTTATCATGATGGTTTAATTATTTTGCTAACAATAAAGTTTGTTTAAAGGTTATCCATGTATTTACTGCTGAGAACACTGACCTAGACAGATTGTTGTGCACAGATTCAGTATTTTAATAGTTTTTAAAACTTTTAACATTTGTTATTTTTTTTTATTTTTTTTTTAAAGAAAGTTTATGTTGGAAAAAAGTGTACAAGTAGAGCTTGCTTGTTTTTACACAATATTTAAAATATTTTGCTAAGAAATAAAATCTAAAATATATTTTTTTATTATTAATCCATTATTGTATTATTAAATGTGTTAAATTTATAATATTTTTTATATAAGGCAAATAAAAATATTTTCCTTCTCGGCCATTTGAAAAATTTCCTTGCCTTTAGCCCATTATGAATCTAAAGTTTTATTCATAATGGTCTTAAAAATGTCTAAAAAGTCTTGAATTTAAACCTGCAGAAACCCTGATTGTACTGCTAAAGCAAAGGGAAGATATTTTGAAGACTGTTGATAAACTGAGGGTGAACTATTCCTTTAAATCCTATTTGGGTGGTTGCTATATTTTGAAATGGGTACAGTAATTGTTATTTTCTAACAAAAAAACTTTGATATAACACTAATGTACACTTGCTTATGTGTGTGAATATATAATGAAACAGAATTACAATGCAAATCAATGATTAAATAAATTACAGCAAAACTGGGAAGATGACCAGAACACAGTTATTCAATAATCCAATATCCTGGAGGGATTTGTGGTGTTGGATTTCTGTCATTAAATCTCCCCTGGACAATTACTAAAAGGCCATTTATCTTAGCTCAGATTGCAGAAGATGTTCATATTGTATTACATATAATGGTAAATCAGTTCAGTTTGAAGGCACACGCTTTATCTTTTGTGATCATAGAAGAACTCAAACTAATGTTAAGATTTTATCTGGGTGTGTCGCTTCATGGTTTTGTGACATCCAGCAAGCTCTTTTTCTGCTGCTGTGGCCCATTGGACTGACTGTGTGAACTATTAGTGTCATATTTGTGGCCTAGAATGAGTTCTCTGGTCTTCCTCTGATTTTTAATCGATATGTATTGTTTACAGAGAAAGAAAAGAATGCCCATGTCTGACTGTTATTAGTGGGATTATTTGAAGAGAGATTATAGTGTGTGACAATATAGGGGAGTCAGCTGAATCCACCTGCTGGAACAACAAAATCAACAATTCGGCTCAACGTAATAATCCGTGTTCACATAGCTGAAGTTTGAACATTTGTGTTCAGAAGTGTGGCATATATACAGTACAGTTCAAGTCTAAATGAAAAGCCTTTTAATTTTTTAAATAACACATAATTTAAATAAATTATTAAATAAGTTAATAAATATTATAGATAAAAAGTGTTGTTTAACAAAGAGATTTCTAACATTGTTTTAAATTACTTTATTTTAAGGTTTTTATATATACAGTTGAAGTCAGAATTATCAACCCCCCTGAATTATTAGCCCTGTGTTTATTCCCCCCCCCCCCCCATTTCTGTTTAATGAAGAGAAGTTTTTTTCAACACATTGCTAAACATAATAGTTTTAATAACTCATTTCTAATAACCAATTTATTTTATCTTTGCCATGATGACAGTAAATAATATTTCACTAGATATTTTTCAAGACACTTCTATACAGCTTAAAGTGACATTTAAAGGCTTAACTAGGTTAATTAGGTTATCTAAGCAGGTTAGGGTAATTATGCAAGTTATTGTATAACAATGGTTTGTTCTGTAGACTATTAAAAAATATATAGCTTAAAGAAGCTAACAATATTTACCTCAAAATAGTTATTAAAAAATTAAAAACTGCTTTCATTCTAGCAAAAGTAAAACAAATTAGACTTTCTCCAGAAAAAAATATTATCAAACATACTGTAAACATTTTCTTGCTGTGTTAAACATTATTTGAGAAATATTTAAAAAAGAAAAATCGAAAGGGGGCTATATATATATATATATATATATATATATATATATATATATATATATATATATATATATATATATACACACACATACATACACAGAACAAGAACAAAATTAAAGGTGATTTCCAATCATTAAGCACTAGTCTTTTAGCCACCACTTTTCCTTGTAATAAAGCTTATTTCTTTATAGCTAATTTCCTTTGTCTTTGGCATGATGACAGTACTAGTTCTATAAGATACAAGAAATCAGATTAAAATGCAATTTATAGCCGTAACTAGGTTATTATGTTAACTAGGCAAGATAGAATATTTAGGCTAATTATTGGAAAATAATGGTTTGTTCAGTTGACAGTCCTGGAGAAAAAAACATAAAGGGGCTTATACTTTAAACCCTAAAATAAAACACTGCTTTTATTCTAGGCTAGCCAAACTAAGTATATAATATTATAAGGTTGTATAAGGTTTAGTATTAGTTATAATTTCCTATTGTAATAAAATTGGGAAACATCACTTTAGTGAAATATTTGAAAAAGAACAGAAAGGGCTAATAATTCTGACTTCAACTGTATGTTTTTTTTAAAACAGGCATCATTTTTTCAGAAAATGTGAACTTTTTTAAATACATGCTTTTTTTTTTTTTAGGTGATCCCAAAATGCAATAACGGCTATTGAAAATTCAGTTTTTCATCAAAGCAATAACTTACATTTTAAAATGAAGTTGAATTCATTACTTTCGAATAATATATCACAATATTGGATTAAGTTGATTTAGCAGTGGTGAGCATAAAAGATTAAATCTAAGCTCAAAAACACATCTTGTGATGCCACACTTTTGAACAGTAGTGTATTTTACGCTGCAGTGGGTCAGTGCTTATCTGAAGCTGTGTAATAAGGAGACCACAGAGCATCTGTTTAGTCTCTAACTGGACGATGAGGAAGGTGGGGTTCACTTTTCAGTTGTACATCCACATGGTTCATGCTACACTGGTTTGATTTTCTCCGATGCTTTCATGCACAACAGAACAGAGGGGAAGAATCGACCAGTACCTGTATATGGTCTCTGTGGGGAGGAATCTGGCTGTGCTGTTTGTTTTTGATCGACAAAAAGTTTGTTGTATATTCCCAGGACTGGGACTCTCATTAGTTCTGAGTCAGATAACCTGAAAACTTTACCTGCTTCCTGGAAAGGGATTAAAAGCAGGGATGAGCTTGCAAGTGCCGATGTTCATTCCTGATGGTAATTTTGAATATTTGCATTTAGAAATGCATGCATTCTTGTTCTGAATACGAGATCATGTCAAGATTAATCAATAGAAGACACCATTATTTCTTGATTTTTTTCAGCAACTTTGTTTATGTTAAAACATCTAAAGCTCACGCAGGATTTATTTTTATTGTAGGTGAGTTTATAAAGGCTCTGTATGAGTCTGATGAGAACTGTGAAGTGGACCCGTCCAAATGTTCATCTAGTGATCTGCCCGAGCATCAGAGCAACCTCAGGATGTGCTGCGAACTGGCCTTCTGCAAGATCATTGAGTCTTACCGGTAACTACAGTCTGTCCTGCACTGAACTGTCTCTTCATGTCAACCAGTGATGCATTTTATTGCAAGATGCTGCTTTTTCCTGTAATATAATTATGACAATATACAACAAAGAAAAGAAGAAACTAATCACTATATATGTTTTAATATTGTTTATTTATTATTATTATCATTATTATTATTATAAGGAGTATGAACCGCCAACTTATCTAGCATATGTTTTACGCAGCGGATGCTCTTTCAGCTGCACCCATCTCTGGGAATCTTATTTTTATTCATTTATTTTTATTATTATTATTATTATTATTATTATTATTATTATTAATACTATTATTCATAATACTACTATTATTCTTATTTTTATTTGGGGTCATTAGGATTTTTAAATGTTTTAAAATTAGCTTATCCTTAGGGACAATATTAATTATTGTGATAATTTTTATTATTAATATTATTATTATTAAATGTAATAGTAATAAAAGCAATAATGACTGGAGTAATCATTTCATTGTAAACTACATACATTAAGTAATACATATATATTTAATATATAAATATTTAACTTTTTTTTATATTTAATAAATACTGCGTTGATTAACAGATTTTTTTTTTTTTTAAACTGACCCCAAATTAGTTTTGACTGGTAGTGTAAATCTAAAGTTCTGTATTTTTACATGTAAAGGACAAATGTATAAAGGGTAAAAATGTCAATTTTGTCAAAGTTTTTATTGGTTTCAATGTTAATTCAGTGTTCAATTCTTGCCTTTTCAACAGTGTGTTTCCTCGGGAACTCAAGGAGGTGTTTGCGTCGTGGAGGCAGGAATGTGGTAATCGAGGGCGTCCAGATATCAGCGAGCGTCTTATCAGCGCCTCCCTGTTTCTGCGTTTTCTGTGTCCGGCCATCATGTCTCCGTCTCTCTTCAACCTGACGCAGGAATATCCAGACGACCGCACTGCACGCACACTCACTCTTATCGCAAAGGTCACGCAGAACCTGGCAAATTTCACCAAGTAAAGATTTCATTCTCTCCAGAGTGTGTTTTAATGTCTTCTAATGGAATGCTTTGGTTTCATTGCTCGTCATGCTATTGTGAGCAAAACACTATTAATAAGAATGAAATGAAGTTAATAGATATAATTATGATTATAAAGTCGCTGGTGTGGTTAATTGAGGTTTTTAAACGCATCAACGAGTCATTCTTGTTCTCGTTTTCCGTCAGGTTTGGTAATAAGGAGGAGTACATGTCCTTCATGAATCAGTTTTTGGAGCAGGAGTGGACCAACATGCAGCGCTTTCTGCTGGAGATCTCCAACCCCGAGACCATCTCTAATACTGCAGGCTTCGAGGGCTACATTGACCTGGGTCGCGAGCTCTCCACATTACACTCACTGCTAGCTGAAGTGCTGTCCCAAATGGACCAGGTCAGTCTCTGTACCATACAGTGTACAAGGCTCCAATATTGTGTAACTTTACATCTTCATGACATTGGCGAGTCAAATACTATCTCTGATTTTAAAGTCCACAAAGATCAAAACTAACCATATGATCTTGTTAGCTGACATTGGTAGTGTTTGTGGTGAACAATTCATCTGTGCATGTCATTCAGAGAAAAAAAAGTTTAGCCTTCTAATTTTAATTGAAATCTGAAAATGCACTTCCTGTTTGTTTTCAGTTAAATGATCAGATTAGTATAACTCTTCTCTGTAATAACTCTTCTAAAACTCTTTTCCCAATCTTTCTAAATGAAATGCCTACTTTACTACGTCCATTTAGCCTGCAGTAGAAAAAAACAAGCCACACCCACTGTTTGCTCAATTAAAATCTCTAGGAACTGCTTCACATTACAAAAAGAATTACAAAAAAAAATTTTTAAGAAATTTTTTCTGTTTATCAAGACGGCATTTGTTAAATGTAAAAACAATTTATTAAAATAAAAAGATTTATTAAAAATTTAAATAACTGCTTTAATATTGTATGCTGTTTCAAATGAAATGATTACTCCAGTAACTCCTTGCCTATATAATAATAATAATAATAATAATAATAATAGTTAATATTACAGTGATTTCTGAAGGATCATGTAACTCTGAAGACTGGAGTAATGAAGCTGAAAATTTTAAATAAATGAAAAAAAGAAAATGCAGCCTTGGTGAGCAAGAGAAGCTAATTTTAAAACATTTAAAATCCACTCCAAACCTTTGATCGGTAGTTTACACATCCAGCAATATTTTACCAAAGGTTTCAAAGTTAACTGAGACTAAAACTGTATTTTAGTAATTTTTGCTAGTAGAAAAAAGCTTACTGAAATAAAATATATTGTACAATTAGACCTTAAATAAAATAAGCAAAAATTATATACATTAAAAAGTAATAAAAATGACAAAAGCACAAGAAAACAAATAATATTTATATCTCAAATGTGTCAGAAAAGCCTTTCTACAGGTTTAAAATAAGTGTGTTTAAATGGGTGAATGGATCAATGAATGATTAAATGAAAAGCTAGTTAACAAATTAATAAATGAAAGAATAATTAAATACATTTCTTAAAGTTAAATGCCATTAAAACTCAAGCCCTTCTGCTTTAGTCTGTTTTATACAAAGTTCAATCTTTTACCCTGTTCAATGATGACTCCCTAGTCAATTTCTCAATCCATGTGAAAAGTTTTGGGGTTATACTGGATGGTATGCTCTTGTTTGCTTCTTATATTAGTAATATCTCTTGGTCTGCCTTTTTTCATTTGCATAACATAACAAGACTTCACTATCTCAACAAAGTACTAAAGTGCTTGTTGATGCTTTACGGATTGATTACTGTAACTGTCTCCTGTCTGGCATCCCTGATAAGCAACTTCATAGACTGCAGTTAATTCAGAATACAGCAGCTAGGATAGTTACCTGCTCGTGTGCTTCGAATCACGTAACTCCAATTCACTTTCACCTGCACTGGCTCTCTGTTCACTTTCGTATACATTACAAAAGATTCCTCTTAACATAAAAAGCTCTTCATTACTTGACACCTCACTATCTTTCTGATCTTCTTCATTTGTACACTCACTGAGATCATCTTCTGCTGAATTGTTATTCGTTCCAGAATTTAAGATTAAGTCATTTGGTGGCAGGGCTTTTAGTTGTACAGCACCAAAGTTATGAAACTCCCTGCCTCTGCACATTTGCCAGGTGAATTCTATTTCCAATATTAAATCTCAGATAATTTTTTTTAATGATTAAAAATAATGAAGCTTTTAATGATTTGCTGGTTAAAAATCATGTCTGTTGCTTATTACTGCATGTATTTTTATGATATGCTTGCGATATGCTGTAAGATGTCCTTGAGTGCTTTGAAAGGCGCCTACAAATAAAAGGTATTATTATTATTATTATTATTATTATTATTGAATAAATAAATAATTTAAAATATGAATATATCATATATGGGTATAAAATGAGTATCTGAAAACAAGTCTTAATGTTTATTTTTATTTAAAGTAGTTCAAAGTTTTTAAATATAATATAAATATTCATCCGTGGATGTCTTTTTCTGTGCAATGTGCCAAAATGCTGATTATGAAAGTCATTTTCCTCCATTTGTTCAGTGCAGTGTTTGCCGTTGAGTGGTAGGTGAAGTCAGGAGAGTGTTGTGACGAGGCAGTTCTTCACATTGACGCCACAGAAGGTTCTTAAGTTGTGCTCCAGTTTTCTGTGTTTGTTCTTTGAGTAGGTGGACTGATGTGAGCAATTGCCTTCAGGCTGAACAGTCAGCCTTTAAAATCTCTCGTTTTATTGCCTTTAATGTTTAGACCTCATAAAAAGGTTTCACCATATGTTTGTTTCTCTGTATCTCATTTATTAAAATATATATTTTTGAACTAAATTGTCTTTTAATCCTCCTCCTCCTCGAATGCTAAATACAAATAGGCTGCTGTATTTGGCCAGACTTTCAACACTAATAGAAAACTTCCAGTCTTGCAAAATGCCTTTAAGCAAAGTTGCATTTATCTGCAGCCACTCACCTATGCTGTAGACACTGCATACAGCTATGCAAACATTACTAATTAAATTTGTAAATGTTGGATATTCTCACTGCAGACCTCGAGGTTGAATTATGCAGATCACGTTAGGTGAACATGCTCTGAAAGCTCATGCCTTCTCAGTGTTTGGAGCTCTACATTGGAAGTCCATTTGTCCCCGAGGCTGCCATAGACTGATAGCAGCCACACAGAAAAAGAAAGTAAAATTATTAATGGATATGTCACCGGCATTTACTGCCATGCAGTCAATTAACATTCAGTGATTTATGAAACAATTTATTTAAGCCAGAGGGGTTGAGCCAGCAGGAGTGCCACAAAATCAGCTCTTCGGTTATCAAAATTTTTAATCAGTCACATTTGAGTTTATTAAAATCTAGACTTCTGCTTCATTTAATGCTAATGGGGGGTTGTCATAAGTTTTCTTTAGTCCAATTTTTGTACATAAACCATGGGTTTTCTCTAGAAATGGGACAATTATATACTGTATAACGTGGTTTGGAAAAGTCAAAGTTTTAAAACTGCCAAAATTTTCTGCTGTACCGTTCCTATAGTATATGTAAGATTTTTAATTTATACCTCCAGCAGTAAAAAAATATCAAAAGATACCATTTTACAATGTGAAGAAATCAGTGTTTTAGAAACTAATGAAGACAGCAGAAGTCAATAATTCATTTTCATTGTTCTTTCTGACATGTTTACTGCTTCAAATTATTATAAATGTTTATCAAAATAAAATATATTGTGTTCAATAAAGAAACTATGTAGTTGTTTTTACCCAGACATTTAAAAAGAAACTATTTTACAGCAGTAATCACAATACGTTAAACCATCATATGTTTATCCAAGGTTATCATACCTTATACCAGCCCATGCCTAGTTTCCACCTGTTTTATTTAGGGGTCCATAAAGATAAAATTACATTATTATAAAACTAAAATGTACACAATACAGTACAGATACAAATACTACTGTCTATATAAAGCAGGTGGACTTATACTCTTTTGCTCAAATGTTTGGAATATGTAGTTTTTATGACCCCAAAAGCTGTGTTTATATGATAAAAACACAGCTGTAAAACAGTAATAATATTACAAATCATTACAATTTAAAATAACTGTTTCTGTTTGAATATACTTCATATAATTATTTCTGGTATGAATCATTACTTCAGTCTTCAGTGTCTCATGATCCTTCAGAAATCATCATGATATGCTGGTTTAATGCTCAATAAATAAGTTTCATTGATTCTTTTTTATTATTATTATTCATTTTACACACAGTACCGATTTATATTATTAAATACAAATATCAGGTTATGACTAAGAGTTGACTGCCTGGTGGATAAATCTGCCTGCAAATAAGCATTGCTCTTTAGGAGGTAATTAGGTTGAATTGATTGTTTAGAGAGACCATTTGCATTTAAATTATTGCCTTGTGCTTTTAAAAAATCCAAAGCAACAGCGTTTTAAGTCTATTCTGCACTTTTTATTAGTAATCAGTTTATCAGCGTTACCTCAATCAAAAACATGGGCTTGGCTCTGCAAACATTTTGCTCTACCAGTTCAGCTTCAGGTACTCATTTCCACAAATTATGTTATCTTCAGCCTCTCTTCTCAAGGGGACTAACAGAGTCCTGCACAGATTAAAAATATATTTAGCTAGTGTGTTCATTTTCAAATGATCTTTCATCCACATCCTCAGAGTGCTGCCTCCAAGCTTGGCCCATTACCGAGAATATTGAGGGACGTCCATGGAGCGTTAACAAACCCGACGAATGTACAGATGAGCGTTCCTTCTGACCGAGTGCCCTCGCCACCAGTCCCTGGATGCAGCATCTCCACTGGAATACAAAAGATGGCCATTGACAGCGACCTGCCAGGGTAAAGCAACAATCACATCTAGTTTATTAACAACCTGAAACCAAGCAGAATAATGTATAAAAAGAAGGGGCATTATCACAAATCGACCAATCGGCTTCAAGCTCGGTGTTACTTAAGGCAATTACACAATAAAAGTGGCGAAGTACAGTTCTATTTCTATATTGCTTACGTACTCAGCATTATCTGTCACTTTCAGACACAAAGACCGTCCTCGTCCTTTTTCTTAAGAGTGTGCCCTTACTTTATCCAGCAGACTGCTCTTCTAAAGAGAGCGGCTCATCTTTATCTGTCTAGCTCGCTGCTAATTCCCCACCGACATTTATGAGAGCCAGAGAGAATGAGAAGCCTGTAATTGTAGTCACACACACACACACACACACGTTCAGGGAAAGAGAAGATAAATATACTGGGGGATCAAAAGAGATGGAGGGTGTGAGGAGAAAGCATCGAATGAAGCTTGTTGGTTGGTGTCTGGATGGAGATTATGATGAAATTAACATTTTTTCCCAGACATCCAGACAATAAACACAGTCTAGGTGGAAGGAAAGATAGAAAGAGATGCATAATAACCTTGAATTTTCTCTGCTGTTATATACATGGCATTTATGTATGTCGGAGAAAGATTTATAGGTTATGAAAAATGTTGTTTTTCAATCAGACTAGCTGCTATATTGGGCCAGAGGTCTTGTGAATATGTTTATACATAATAAACTTTATTGCTGTTCCAATGGTTAAAGAGCAACATTAAAGTATACTGCTTCCTAAGTAGCTTAAACTATAGGAAGAGTAGCTAAACCATTGTAGATTTGTGGTTACCTAAATCTACCATGTTTTATTTTTATTTTTTATTTTTTTGTAGTAGAATTTAGGTTAATTTTCATAAACAAAAATGGGCTATTGTGGGTTGTCTAGCTCTTTTTATGCTTCTTAGAGAATCAAGCAGTAACAACATTCTATGACAATTTGTACTTTTTGTTTTACAAAGTTTTCTATGTTGAGTTTTCTGACTCACTTAATTAAGCTGTGTTTTATTTTATTGTGAATTATATTTATGCAGCATACAACAACGAAGAAAACTAGGATTTAGAGCTAATTTATTTCCTCTCACAACATTTAACCAACTTTTGTGTGAATATCTGTTGTTACAGTATTGAGGGATTAGCAGTGATAGATTCATGTGCAAGTTTTCATTAGAAGGTAACATTTCAGCAAGGACAGCAGCTCTCTTAGACAACAAGGCATTAAGATTTGAAACTGCAATAGTGTGTTCTCCATTATATTTTAATTGATCGCAAATTGCATGTCCTTTTACTGACCTATATTGTGATTAATTATTTACACTTCTCTCTTTCTGGTCCTTGTTTCCATCTTTTCACTTTACTAGCCCAGTGGACTTTACTCGCCTTCCTTCCCCCACCCCTGAAAACAAAGACCTCTTCTTCGTTACACGCTCTTCTGGCCTCCAGGGCTCCCCTACCCGCAGCTCCAGCTACTCTGAGGCCAATGAACCCGAGCTGGGTCTGGCCAACGGTGGCAAGAGTCTGTCCATGGTAGACCTCCAGGAAGCAGCCAGAGCGTTAGAACCCATTTCCATTCCGGCAGGGATAACTTCAGAAGGTATGGGTGAGGGTGCCATGGTCCCCTGGAATGCACGGACTCCTCAAGGCAACATTGCTGGAGGCCCGACTCTTCACAGGCCAGTACAGAGTCCCACTACCCCAGGAGCAGAAGGGGCCCCAGGCAGGCCCACGCAGCTCTTGGCCCCACTATCTTTCCAGAATCCAGTGTACCAGATGGCAGCAGGGTTGCCAGTCTCCGCTAGGGGTAATGCGAGTGGGGATTCTGGGTCGGAGTGTCACAGTTCCGTCAGTTCCCATAGCAACAATGAAGAGTGTCTTGGAGGAACCAAGACCACCTTCCTTACCCAGGGTGCTTCAGTGGGCGAAGAGTTTGCAAGGCGTTCGGGAGATTTTTCGAGACGCCAGCTATCGTTAACCGACCCGCAGCATGGAAACCAGCCAACAGTACCACGACAGAGCAGTGCTGGCCCCCAGCGGCGGATTGACCAGCCTCCACCACCTACACAGACTGCACCCAGAGGACGAACTCCACCCAACCTTTTAAACTCCGGCCCCTACCCACGACCTCTCAACAACACTATGATGTCATCATCACCAGACTGGCCTGGAAGTGGTGCACGGCTTCGGCAGCAGAGCTCCTCTTCCAAAGGGGACAGTCCAGAAACAAAGCATCGTGCACCACATAAACAAGTGAGTCATGTTTTTTTGCATATAAAGATTAGTATTTAGAGTACGCATCAACATTTAAAGCCATGATATAAAAAAACTGACATGGTTATTATTTTATAGAATATTGCAGGGATTTATTTGAGCAGATCATTTTTATTTAATTGTGCTCCATCAGATCTTTAATCCAAAGCAGACATCTCTTCTCTGTTTTGTGTGTACTGATGCAAGAGCTGGGCAATAATTCCTTGCCTCCAGCAAACGGTCAATCACATGAAATCAGAGCAAACAAACCACAATGATCAGTCAATTCCCAGGGGGCCAAATCAATATGGAAGAAAAGAGTCTTGCAATTTCCGTTTTATGCAGGCTTTTAAATCAGCCTCTGAGCTGGATCATTTTTTCTTATGCATCTTTATCTGAAGCGAAGCTAGTCATTTTATAAATATACCTTGCGGCAGGTCTGATTTATCGAGTGTAATAAGAATCAAAAAAGCTTAGCTTGCTACCAATCATGAACCCCTGACATTGACTATTGCCACAAGCAGTCATTTTTCTCAGTGATTTGACAATGAAGTGGACAGGAAGGACATTTACCTTATCCACAATGCATTGTTCTCTCTCTCTCTCTTGGGATTTGATTGATTGTTTAAAGTGATTGATGGAAGCATGTCTATGGAAGCCACATGTGCGCACACTTTTATTACATCGCAGAGCACCTCCAGGCTCTTTTTGTCTCAACGTGAAAGGCACATCTGCGCACTTTATGTGAACACTGTGGTGGAGTATAAAATCAGTTACATTATACAGTTGCAGAAAAGATTAGCATCTTCCATCAAATTGAGCTATTGTTTGTTATACCTCATTAAAACTGATGAAAGAGGGGTAGTGACAGATTTTTATTGTATTGTAAGGTATATCTGAGTGAAATGAGGTCTTAATAAAAGGTTAAAAAAAAGTGTATGATAGAGTCTTTAGTTTTCAGTTAATTAATTGGATAGAGGCAGGTAGGGCTGGGCAATTATTCGAAAAGTTATCAAAATTCAGAAACTTTATTCGATCCAGGTGAATTTTTTCCATTACTTTCCCTACCACGTGTGGAGTAACGTGACGCCGCTCTGTTTACACTTCTGCATCGAGCACAGCGTATGGTCTGGTGCAGCTTTCATGCGGTTGCATATTCCTCCCAGTGACTGATGCCAATGGTGAGCTCTCGTAAAATGTAACTACACGTCGCAACGACCCATAGCGCAAGCTCTGTGATTGGTCAGCTTGGTATCTTTGACGAGTGTGAACGGTGCGGAAAGAGCAAAAAAAATTAAATAAAGAAATAAAAGAATCGTTCAATTCAATTCACCTTTTCTTGTATAGCACTTTTACAATGTAGATTGTGTCAAAGCAGCTTCACATAGAAGATTATAGTAAATTGAAACAGTTCGGTTTAGTTTTCAGAGTTTAAGTTCTGTTTAGTTCAGTTCAGTGTGGCTTAATAATCACTACTGAGAGTCTAAACACTGAAGAGCAACTTACCGATGCGCAGCTCTACAGATCCCGAACTATGCAAGCCAGTTGCGAAAGCAGCGAAGAAAAAACTTGGTGAAAGTTGGTTCACTTTCACCAATTGGTGAAAGTGAAGAATTAAAAAACCTTGGGAGAAACCAGGCTTAGTTTGGCACGACCATTTCTCCACTGGCTAAACGTCTTGTGCAGAGCTGCAGTCAAGGCCCCGGAGGCTTGAAGCTGGACCTCATTTAAAATCTTCAATTAACCGAGATTTTGATTTTAGGCCAAATCGACCAGCCCTAGAGGCAGATCTGAATGCAAGCTAGGGTTTGATTTTAAACAAGATTTAATTTTGAATCCAAAAAAGTCTGCTGTTTAACTTTTTTGAAACATTCATTTATTCATTCATTTTCTTGTCAGCTTAGTCCCTTTATTAATCCGGGGTCGCCAAAGCGGAATGAACCGCCAACTTATCCAGCAAAGTTTTTACGCAGCGGATGCCCTTCCAGCCGCAACCCATCTCTGGGAAACATCCACACACACATTCACACACACACTCATACACCACGGACAATTTAGCCTACCCAATTCACCTGTACCACATGTCTTTGGACTGTGGGGGAAACCGGAGCACCCGGAGGAAACCCACGCGAAGGCAGGGAGAACATGCAAACTCCACACAGAAACGCCAACTGAGCAGAGGTTCGAACCAGCGACCTAGCGACCTTCTTGCTGTGAGGCGACAGCACTACCTACTGCACCACGGCCTCTTTTTATTTAGGTTATTTGTAATTCTTAAATAGTTTTGCATCTTTAGTAAATGTATGACTTTGCTGGTAAAACAAACAAAAAACTTATATTCTTATTTCAGACATGAATCATATCATTCAAATTCATGGTATAATTCTTGAAAACACATCTTATGTGATGCAATTGTTTAAATTGTAAGCATGTTAAAATAGTTACGGACTATACTATATTTGACTCTTATATTGTCTAATGGCTTGTTTCCACTGAGTGTTACAGTACAGTATGGTACAGGTGGGTACGGGTCACCTTTATCAGGCTTGCGTTTCCACTGCCAAAAGGGTACCATTACACACAACATACATTTAATCTTTATTTTGTTTTCAAAAACAACAAGCAATATAATTCACAATCAGTGCAAACCTCTCACCTGTATTTCTGCTACAAAACAAACGAAATAATATAATAAATCATTCAATCCAATGCTGAAAGCTGCAAAGCAGTCATCAGTAATTAATAGAAAAATAATATACACTTCAAGAAAGAACGGACAAAAGAAAGGAGGAAAAGTCTCACTTTTAAAAGTTTTGGTTTCGGTTCGTGTCGTTTTAATGCTCAGCCTCGTTACGCGCTGAATTACATTTTTCTGTGTTTGCGGAAAAGCATGCGAGTCAGCCGGCCCAATACAAGGGGGGCAGAGCAGGATTCCCCCGATGCCCACCGGCGCAATACTGTTCTTTGTTATAACCCGCATCAGATCAAACTCCGTAAAGGCGAGCTTTTTTGGCGATGGTGTTTTAGCGGACATTTGCGCTGTTGCAGCCTGCTCACGAGGAAACGTATGAAAAAGTTATGAATTGCCGTGAGTTTGTGTTGGCTGAACACTCGGTGTATGCAACGCATCGAGATTCAGTGTACTTTTCACTCTTCAGCCGTTTGCAATCCCCGCGGTCACAAAAGCTCCCTCCCTGTCATCTGACAGCGGAAAGTCTTGAGTGATTGACGGCTAATATGAACCAATATAGCGGCAGGGAAGAGCGAATTTACCACGTTTTTAGAAAAAACAAAAACAAAAACAGGTCGCACTACAACCATAACATGCAGTCGCATGAATGCTCCCAATATATATTATGAGTCGCATAGCTTAAATTTCGGGCGCATATGCGACTAAAATGGTCGCAAATTCGAGCCCTGATGTATATATTTTTACAGTATAATGTTTCGGCTATGTAGCTCCCCCTTTTAGTACCCTTTTGTCATGCTAGGTACGGTTTGCTTTTTGGTACTTTTTGACTGTGTAAATGGCCATAAAAGCATATTGAACCATACCATACCACTCAGTGCCAACAGGCGAAAGAGCTTAGCTTAAGAACAACATCAACAAAAATGGACACTTTCTAATGCATCTTAACTCTGCATGTTATTATAGGCACTGTAATGGTGTCCATATGTCACACATGTTCTTTTATTCAACGTTACATCATGCTAAATGTCATTAGGTTTGTTTGTCCATGTAGCCAGTTGAGAACGTGCTGCCCCTGCCATGACTTCTTTGTGTGTGTGTGTGAATACTGTTTGATCTTCAAGTTATTCATGCGCTTGTGTATTTGTGTGTGTGTCTCATAGGCCCCGTCCCCAGTGAACCCCAGTGCACTGGACCGTACGGCTGCCTGGTTGATGAATGTGCCATATATAGAGCAGGAGCCTGAGACAGAGCTTTGCAGAGATGAGCACACACAAGCTGAAAAGGTAACTGACCACCCACACACCGTAGCAGCAGAGATTTCGGCTCATTCTAACACTCTGGATGGGAAATGAATCATCATCCTGCATTATTTTTTACTCAGACACAAGGATTTTGTCAGTGTCAGCGATCCAACTTTCGGCTCTGTCTGAGTTGGGTTTTTTCTCAGATTTAAAGTGCAGTAAATTGCAGATTTAAAGGTGAAATGTGTAGTCTCGTCCTAGTTTAATGAGCAGAGGATCTTAAGTAAGCCATTTGTACCTCCTTGAGAGCTTTGTGGCAGTTTTAACATTGCAATGTTTCTGCAGTGGCAAATGGGGAATGGGGTAGAAGAGGTTGTTAGAATTTTTTTTTATGCAGTTACATTTGGTACTTCTAGTAGTGTAGAAAATCCAGACTTCTTAGAAACAATTTCCAGAAGAACTCTCAGACTTATAAGAGAGAAAATAATCCACTTCATTTTTTGCTTTCTCATTTCTTATACATACTGTATGTTTGCTTTTCTATTTTATATAACTTTTAGTATTGTTTATAAATTATTATATTATTAATATTTTGAATGACTGTTTTTATAATATTTGAAAGTAATTTGTAAAGTCATAAATATGATTTTTATGTGTGATTTGATTATTTTAGCTTTATTTACTGAAAAACATTTTGGTAACACTTTGAAAGAACACTTGATTTCTAACATTGCATAATGCATTGTAAGTAGTGTATTTTAGTTACTGTAGGTACAAAGTCAGCTAAGACAATAATTTCTTGTTCATGTTGAATCATAGCTTGTTTTAACTTAGGAATCCATATGCAACTTTTGATTTTAGGGATGCATTATTATATGTGGATATTAGCATGAACTGAGATGTAATAAAATGCTGTAGAAGTAGTTCATCTCTAGTTTATGCTGACTAATGCAATTAACTGCAGTGCTTCTCACAGGATTAAAATATACTTGAGGTGGGGGGCCGAATTGAAACGCACCATTTACCCAAATCACATAAATAGTTAACTACATGCGACAAACAATATATAATTCAATTTTCAACAATAATTTAATTTATTTTATACCGTTATACACGGTTTCTTTTCAATGGGTTAAAGTAAAAAAGAGACGACATCCACAATTTCTTACTTTTATGCTCTACATGAGTCATGTGCACCCACTGACAGGTCAAATATGCTTCTTTCTCTTTCAAGTTCAATGCAAATCTGAATGCCAAAGCATATAAAATAGCGGGCTGCACGGTGATGCAGTTGGTAGCACATTCGCCTCACAGCAAGAAGGTCGTTGGTTCGAGCCTCGGCTGGGTCAGTTGGCGCTTTTGTGTGAAGTTTGCATGTTCTCCCCATGTTCATGTGGGATTCCTCCGCGCGCTCCGGTTTACCCCACAGTTCAAAGACATGCGACATAGGTTAATTGGGTAGGCTTAAATTGTCCGTAGTGAAATGGGTGTGATGAATGTTTCCCAGTGATGGGTTGCAGCTGGAAGGGCATCCATTGCGTAAAGCATATGCTGGATAAGTTGGCTGTGGCGACCCCAGATTAATAAAGGGACTAAGCTGAAAAGAAAATGAATAAATAAATATAAAATAGCCTACTGTATGTAATATATTAACATCATCAAATTAATATAATAATCTGCAAATGAGAAATAAATGACAAAAAAAACAATAAAAACAGACAATATATCTAAAAATAATCATAATTACAAGATTAAAACTTGTAGATCATTTAAATAAAGTCAAATGCACTTATTAATCATTACTAATGGTGTACATACATTTTGCAGCCAGTTTAGACCAGTAATTTTGTCCTCTTCGAGTATATAGTAAAGTTTTTTTAGAGTCATTTAGATTCAAAAAATATATATATTCAATGTTTCTCTCACTCTCGCGACTGTGCACATGCAGTCAGTTTCGAAGCCAAGCAAAAGTAGTCTTAAAGTAAAAAAGGGATGCAAAAACGCTTAAGAGCTTTAGAAAGCAAAAGCAAAAGTTGAATCCCGGACATTTTAGGAGCTTTAGAAACCCGGGCCGGACAAAATCTTTAGGTCTCAAAAAAACGCACATCTGTGGGTCTGCAGAGCATGTGAGACTGTCTGTGGAAGTGTCGACAGGTCTTATGCACACAAAACATAATGTGTAAACGAGAGAAGATTTTCCACTGCTTAATTGATCTTGGATGTTTGGGTATTGGGCGCTTACAAAATAATCTAAAGGATGTTAATAACAGTCCAAAAAAAAGTGTTGCTAAATATACTTGAGCGACCGTTAACATACCTGGGCAGCCCGCCCAAGTAAAGTCTATATGTGGGAAGCACTGAACTGATGTTAACAAATGTTAGCTTGCTCTAAAACTGAATTTGTCATTGTTTTAGTCAACATAAATTGATAATTGATTCCAACAGAGTTTTAGCAAGTTGGAGCAGATGTTAGCATGTTACTGTGCTAACACTGCAGCTTTTACAGCACTGATACTCAAAGGTTAATGCTAATTTTACATATATTAATGCATTTTAACATTGCATGCTGTATCAATTTACATTAGTCGATGTATTATAAATGAACATGAATTAACAATGAACGAAAGCATATCTATAAATGAATGCAGTAAAAATGTAGCTCGTTGTTAATTCATGACACCTGAAGCATTAATGTTAACAAATTGAACCTTATTGTAGAAAGTTATCATGTTATACTTTTGCAGGAGTGTGCAAAAGACAAACATAGGAAAACATTTGGAAGTGTATTTTTCCATTTTCAGGACTCTTAACTAACGTTTAGTGCTGACTGAGGTATTTTTGTGTGTTTCAGTATCAGGCGGAAATCAGCATGTTGCAGGATCGTCTGCGTATGTCGGTGCAGAGGCTGGAGGAGTACGAGGCCCGGCTGAAGGGACAGGAGGAACAGGCCCAGAAGATGCTGCTGGAGTATCAGGCCCGACTGGACGAGTCAGAGGAGAGACTGAGACGACAACAAGAAGACAAAGATCTGCAGATGAAGGGCATCATAAGCAGGTGGGACACACTTATGTTTTGAAGATTAAACCTGATGAAAGCCGATGAAGGAAGATGACATAAAGCAGTAATACAGAAAGAGAAAAGAGCAGACTTTAAAACCAAACAAACAAAAATATATGAAATTTTAAAGTAAGCCAAAAACAAAGTAAAGAGAAGGGAAGAGTAGCAAATGTGAAGAAAGTATTTCTTTTCATGTACACTCAAAACAAATGCTTGATGTTTAGACCCAACTTTGGGTTGGGTTAAACATGGACAAACACAGTTGTTGAGTTTACAATAAGGTTCCATGAACTAATTCGAAGTAAGAATGCAATATTTTAACAGCATTTATTATAGTTTAACATTTACTTATGTATTATTAAAATACAAAGTAAAATACATAAACTAAGGGATAATGTACATCAAGCAGGTTGTCCTTGCAGAATAAAGGCTAACAAGCTTATCAGCAGCCTGACATCAAGCCTCAAATATTGATCTGCTCTGTAATAGTTCAAAAGCTCTTTTGTTAAATGTGAAGCTTGCAGAAAGAAGAATTGTCAACAAATGGCTGAATGACGCCTACGCTTACTGCTTATTATTCAGACACAAACAGTCATGAATAGTGGAATGACAGATATAACATACCTTGGAATGTCTTTAACCAGACTCTTTTAATCAGATTCAAGTATTTATTCATCAACAGTCTAGATCATGGATCTTACACTTAATTCCTAGAGGGCCACAGCTCTGCACAGTTTTGCTCCAACCCTAATCAAACACAGTTGATCCAACTAATTGAGTTGTTCAAGACTACTAGACACAACTAGATCAGCTTTGTTTGATTAGGGTTAGAGCAAAACACAATAACCATACATGCAATACCATACAATTCACCATACATACACAAATTATTAAAAAAAATCATCACCTACCATGTAAATAATAAACACCCATTATCAAACAATTATCTTTTGATATTTTGATTCGGATAATTTATTGCACATAATTGCATGAGTTTATAAAAACACATTTTTCCCCACTAAACTTCTAAACTTAAGCAAATATTAAAATCCCAACCCCTAGTACTATATGTATGCTGTTGCCTCACCATTTGAAAATGTTTCGTAAAATAACTAGATACCACATAATTAAACATTTTACATATCATTCCCAATAAAAAAACAAACTCTTTTATTCACAGTCAACCTCTCTAATTCTTAAAAAACTCTTTGTGCAAAAGAGTTCCAGAGAGCCATGCAATAACATTAGTTCATCCACTGTAGGTTAACAAGAGCTAACAATAAATAACTTTCTTTGTCGTTAACTAACATTAACACAGATTAATAAATACTACAAATAATAATTTAATTGTTCATTATTTGTTCATGTTAGTAAATGCACATTTTATAACTAGAACCTTACGGTTAGTTTTATGAAAAAATATGACCAACAGTCCAGTTTGTCCATGTTTGACCCAATATTGGGTTAAAACAACCAAATTTTATAATGCTTGCCTATCAAGTTCACAAGTAGTCGCCTTAGTGAAGCAAATGGATTAAATGGGCTCAATTTCCCTTGTTATCTTAGTCCCTAAATCAGATAAAAGTTAGCTTGAATTTAGTGAACAAACAGCAAACGCAGGGAGAGGCCACTTTGCAGCACTTGGTTCTGATGCCGAGTGTCATTTTGCTTTCAGCTGCTGGTGTATTAGTGAGAATCTGAGAAGACAGAGAGCTTTTAGCCGACTTTTAGCTTTCCTCGAGGCAGATTTTACTGAGAGCTGCTTTCCACCAAGACCGATGTTATGGGGCAGCTATTTATGGCCTGGAGCTCCAGATCAAAGACAGAACGGGAGGATTTATGCTGGCTGGACTGAGTGTATGTTTATTTTGCGTTGATGCAGGTTGATGTCGGTGGAGGAAGAGCTGAAGAAGGATCATGCTGATATGCAGGCAGTTGTTGACTCCAAACAGAAGATCATTGATGCACAGGTACTGTATGTCTATAACAGCAGTCATGGAATCCAAACTATTTTGGGATTATTCTCTTTGCCTGAGGGTTGTTGTTAAATCATTTCAATAGTTGTTACCAATACCAGTACAATAGCATAATACTTGATACTAATCTCAAATACTGAGTTGAATAAACCACATTTTGAGTATTTTTTTAGTACAGAAATACAATAAGAATTGCAATTTTGGGTATTTTATTTATATATGTTTATAAAATGTCTAGTAATGCCAGAGCTGAAAACATTTTTGTATGTGAGCATATGACATATTAAACTTTAGTAAACTCTGCCATCTTTGCTGCCACTTTTGATCAATTTAATGCACCATTTCCATATAAATGCATTAGTTAAAAAACCACAGTGTTTGAATGGAAAATATTTGGTATTTATATTTCTATCATAGTCTATCCCCAGCATACCCCCTGCTGTACAATAGAAACCCCCAGGGAAAGTAGGCTGTATTTTTTTTAAAGAAACATATACATTTTTATTGCAATGAAAGCAAAGTGTATCTGCTAAATATGTACCATTAATCCTTGTTAAATTGAACATTTGCTGAATAAATATTTTCTCTGTCGATCATCGGTTTTCATGGCTGATTTGTACAGTCTGAAATCTGAACAGAAAAATGACCTAATGCAGCAACACAGAATGAATTCAATGAAAAATACATATACTGCACTATTTTATACTCATGCTATTAACTACTTGCTTATTACCTGTCTATGATTAAGATATTAACTGTTCATTAGTAGTTATAAAGTATAGTCTTATTCTACATACCTAATCCCCTCACTACATGAACCCGACTTCTACCTTACTAACAATTAATAAACAGCTAAATAGTAGTTTATTATGCTTGTAGTGTTAGTAAATGGTTTGTTAAAACTGTGAATAGAGACCTAAACTAAAGTGCTAAAGGCTATATCTTCACATAGTTTTCATTTTTTAATTGTCTCCTCTGCTTTCATGTCCACATTTTAAGAGAGAAAGAAGCAATTAAACACTAGTGGCTGAGTGTCTCCATAAATAACATCACAGCTGTGATTTGGTCACAGACACAAGCTCAATCATCACAAGTTACCATGCAACACTGATTTATAGCTGATTTGCAGCCAATTTAAAAAAAAGGATAATGAGCATACATTTTATTAGCTTCAATCTATTTTACCATAAATTTTCAAAATAAAAAGATCCAATACATGTTCACAATCTATAACATGATTATTCATTGATGTAATAACATCGGTTGGGTGCTTGATGTTGACTGAATTGACTGACTTAACTTTATGCATAATTATACATTCACCTTGAAGCTTGTGTTAGTTAATCCAATGCAACAGAGTACAAATAAATCATGAGAACCTAAAGGCTGATGACGAGACCAGAATATCTAAGAAAGATCACTTGATCTGTTTCTCTTCGGGCTGAGTCAACTGTATTTACCAGAACATTTTTTTTATTTGGTAACATTCAAACAGTTACTCAAAAGTATTATGACTGTTACAGAGCTGTTAATTTTCCTGATATTTGCATTTGTATAGGTACATGTGTTCACACATATAAAAAGTCAGAATTCTAATTTCCTCAAAATTGTCATATATAAACTCAGAATTGCAATAAATAAAAAAATTATTACAAAAAAGTAAAGAGAAATAGGTTAGGTTAGGTTAGGTTATTTAAGCCTGAAGGTAGATGTGGTTTGTAATTAAGAGTCCTCATTTCATAACCATGCCCCCCCCCAACAAGAAATGAACATAAAACATACAGTAAACATACAAAACACTCTCTTACAAAAAGTAAAAAAATATATATTAATTTGAATAAAACAATAAAATTGTAATTAAATGTTTAAAACAATCTGTAAACTGTAAAATATAGACCATTTTGAGGAATGTTAACAATAACAATGACAATGACAATGGTCCAAATGTGACTTTACACAGCTTCTGTGACTTTACAAAGGTCCACATATTGATAAATAATGTTATGATAGCTGTTTTAACATTAAAATATGGTTGAATTACCTCTTGTTGCAGTTGGGATGTTGTTTGATAGCAAGCAGGAAATGTTTGAGGGCCAATGACATTACCACATTGAAATGGGTTATAGAAGTCACAGATACACCTCTGCTTTAGTCTATGCCTTATTTAAATGTCTAATGGCTGCTGGTATGAAACTATCTTTTATTGATTAGTTCTGCAGCTTGATACTAAAACTCTGAGTGTAGGGGATGCGCAGTGTCACATTTAAAATTGAATTTGTAATTCTTTTGAGCTGCCTGGTGTACAGAACTTCCAGATTGGCTAGTGAAACCCCAGTCAGCTTACTGGAGCACTTAGCTATAGTTATCAAGCTATTAAATAGTAATCAAGCTATAAAATTTTACAAAAGTATATGAACTCTAAACTAAAAGTTTTTTCTTGTAATTCTGAATTTAAATATTGAATGAGGCTTAAATGTACTGTATATGATTCATAACTTGTACACACTACGTCTCTCTCACTACAGGAGAAACGGATAGCCTCTCTAGACGCAGCTAACGCTAGGCTAATGAGTGCTCTGTCCCAACTGAAGGAGCGCTACAGCATGCAGACACGTAACGGCATCTCTCCCACAAACCCCACCAAACTGCAGATAACAGAGAACGGAGAGTTCCGCAACAGCTCCAACTGCTGAGTACAGACACACAGAACCAAAAGAGAGAGAGAGAGGACATGATATTCTGTAGGTGAACCCTGAGAGAAAACCGCAGGTGAGGACACTGAACACTCAGCAGAACGGCTGTCCAGAAACATCCGCTGGTGACACTACTGTTCAAGTACTTCATGTTAGGACACACCACTAGACACTCATTCGTGATTCACAACGGCTGACTGTATAATACAAGAACACAAAAAAATACAGCTGACATGGTGACATTATACAAACACTAGACCTTCTAGTCTGCAAAAAAAAAGTAATTGAACTTGCTTTAAAATAGGTGTTTTCCATACAATCTGAGAAAAAGAAACTCAATTCTGAACCGTTTATTTATAGCGCTCTTTACTTTAACATGAAACGATTGAAACAACAGAACGAGCGACTCTGTGTGGAGAATTTAGAGCTCTCCTTCATATCCTCACTTCTGTTTCTCCCTACATAGTGCACTTTGTCTCTCCATCATGAGAAGCCTTAAAATGTTGCATCTGAAATGTCCCCCAGTCCTTATCTTTTTGTTTTTACAGTTCAGATGAACATCTGTGATAGATTATGATGTCTATTTAAAAAAAAAAAAGTATATATTTTACATTCTCCGTCAGTCATGATTCTTTTTGTCATTAATTTTTTTTTTTATTCTGGACAAAAATAGTCCGGTCTGTGACAAACAGGTCCTACATTTTATTTTGGGTCCATTTCAGATATTATTTTGAGACAGAGCAGAGTGAATGTTTTCGACACTATACTACATCAACTTGATTTTACATTGAAGTTTTGAAAACCGCCTCTTGTTTTCTTCCTACATTTGATTCATTTTTTATGGGTTTTTAATGTTCAGTCTCCTTTTTATGCCTTCATTTGTACATGTGTGTCTGTATTTTTATATGTGTTGCCTCATTGGTCCAAATTGCTGCGCGCTTTACATTTCAGCATTTTAGAGTTTGTATATTTTTGTATTTAAAAAAGCATATGTGAGGATTTTCTGCATTTATCATGGAGCTGCTGTTTTCCTTTAATCTGAACCTGATGGTCTTTGAGGAAGTGACACACATTACACATCTCTATTTTCTTGCAAATATACATATTAAGACAAACTGTCATGGGACATATATAAAAAGATGAAAGAAATGCTATTTTTAAGGGAAAGCCTCTCTATAAATGTGCCCTGGGATGGAGTAAATTAGGATTATAGATGTTCAGAGTGAATGATGTTCTTACATCAATATAACAAGCACAAACCACATCTGTCCCTCTAAAGACTATGCACTTTGTCCTTTTGTCATTTACACCTGGGTTTACATCACTCCATCAACATGTAGCAAATGCATCATCATCATTATTATTGTTATTATTATTATTTTTATTATTATAAAGGGCTAGTTCACCCCAAAATGAAGTGTCTGTTTTAACATTGAACTGCAAGACTTTATTTTATCTCCAGACCACACATCAAGGTGTTTAATCTGAGAAATTTGTGTCTCTCCTTAGATATCAGTAGTCCTGCCCACTTGAACCAAATACACCAGCTACAAGGAGAATCACAGCATTATACATTTTGATTTGAAGCAAAGAAAAGTTTGATCATTTAGCAAAAGTATATGATGTGTATTTTATATAGATTACAATCACATGATGCATTGACAATCAGTAAAGTGTAACTGAGACATTACACTATTCAAAGTTGTTGGTTACATTTGTAGAATCTGTACCAATATATTGCTAGTTATGCAATATAAGAATCTGATAAGAATACAGATATCAGTCTGTAAATTATATTATATTATATTATATTATATTATATGCAATACATATTGCAAGTTATGCAAAAAAAACAGCTATGAAGAGATCTATATTCTCTTGATTTATTATTTAAAGGTTGGAGTAAAATGTAAAATTTGTTTTATTACATTAGAAAAATACATTAAAAATTACATTTTTAAAATCTAATTTCAAATAAAAGTGTTACTTTCTTTATATAATTTTTAATGATTAAATATTTATAAATAGAATAGATTTTTTGACTACATTAGCATTATGTCGTTATATATTGTAGGGTTGTTTTTGGAATCTGGTAAGTCTATTAACCCAAAACCCTTGACATTTTTCATAGTAGTTTTTGTTTTTAGAAGAATAGACTTTCAGTGGAGAGACATGAATTTCTCTGATTTGATAAAATATGTCTTCATTTGTGTTTTGAAGAGAAATAAAATCACATAAGATAAGGATGAATAATTGATAACCCGGTAGCACTTTATTAACAATCTTGTATCACATGCAAATACTTATCAATATCTGCTTGTTAAGTGTGACCAAACGCAAAGTAGCTTTCGGGTCCAAGTGCTCTATCAAACTGAATGGGTAGACTCAACAAATAGTAATAATAAACGTTTACAAAGCGATGCAGTACCTTCGAAAATCATGACCGTAATAAATACAGTTAAAGTCAGAATTACTGAAATGTATCACTTTCTGGCCATTGGATATATATATATATATATATATTTTTTTTTTTTTTTTTTTTTTTTTTTTTGTGATATGACTAAAAAGTAGTCATAAACAAATATTTTTTCAATTCAAATGAGTAGCGGCTTGGACCCGGAAACAGTTTTTCATACATCACCATTTAACAAGCGGATTATTAGTGATACTATCTCTAATCCCATCCCTTACCTAACCCTAACCTTATGTAGTTACCTTATGTAAAGCAGTACATTTTTAAGTTCACATACTGTGCTGTAAAATAACCCAGAATTGTGATTTTTGGGTGAACTAACACTTTAAGCCAGGGAATCTTTCATTGTTTTAGTAGTAGCATTATCCTTCACACCATTGTAGCCAAATGCTATAAACCCTTCCACTTCATGCAGTGTAAATGTTTCAAGATTATGAACTGGACTGTTGGATGACTCAGCCACTCCCATACTCTTCTGATGCCCTACTGAAGTAAAGTAGTTGTGCATGTGTTTAATGCTTCAGCAGTATCTCTAAAAGGCTGATTTGTATCCAGGGTCATTTCGAATTCATTTGATCAACTTTTAAACTCAGCTTGGGGCTGAGTTTGTGCAAAAGGGAACCAATATTTATTTTTCACAAGTTTTCTTTCACAGAAGCGGCTGTCAACTTCTCTGTTCGTTCATGTTCTGTTTTTAATGAGAGTCATTATGTCTATTTTCATCCACATGAGAAGCTACTAGCGAGTCAAAAAAATAGTAGTTTAAAAGAGTGTCGAATGAAAAAGACTTTTGCTGTCGTCTTGGTTCTTTTCATCAGTGTCTTTATCTGGCTACATTTCAGTTCTCGGAGTTTAGGAAACTTTCTGCAAGTGAAAACTATTTGCGCATTGTTCTTTTCTTATTTTCAAGCAGTCGATGTGAAATAGTAGCTATGTGAAATAAACAATATAAAGAGAAAAGATATATATAAATTAATACCTAAAATATGTTGTATGTTTTATAATCCTTGTAGAAAAGATTTTTGTAAGTATGTTTAAAGTATTGGCTGGACTCTTGCCTTGTTTTAGGACAACGACAGGAACAATAATGTACAGAGAAATTTGTCCATGTTAAGAACTATACAATTGTGGCTGTGCAATTTATGTACATTTGCAACTAGAATAATTAAAGTTTTATTTAGTTATTTCATATGCCTGCTTTGTTGTCTTTATTATTGCGTCATTCTCTTGTTTGTAACCCAAGGTGTCTTAGTGGCAGTATCACAAATAAATCATATGAGCCAATAGTTACTATCAGACAAGACTAGGAGTGTTTTATATTTATAAAAACAGTAAATTGATCAAAAGTTACAGTAAAATAATTTGTCAGGGAAAAAATATAAAATGAAAAAGAAAAAAATGACTATTGAAAGTGCATTCTTGATTCCTTGCATCAGAGGAGTACATTAGTTTCAAATTTGTGACCCTGGACCACGAAACCAGGTGATAAGCTGCCGTGGTGTATTTGAGGGAAAAGCCAAAACAAAATCTTAATTGTCATAATTATTCATTTACACCACCTGACAAAAGTCTTGTCTCCTATCTAAGTTTAGGAACAACAAATAATAAGTTGACTTCTAGTTGATCAATTGCTATCAAAAGTGGCTTATATGAAAAGCAAAGGCCTCTAGATTAGGCTTATTTTACCAGAATAAAATATGATTATGTCTTGATTTTTAATTATTTAATTAGGATAGTAAGGTCTGACTCTGCTCAGGCAAACGTCTTGTCGCTTAACAGAAGTAATGTACAGTATATATTATAAAGTCATGGTGCAATGGAAAAAGAATGAATATTGTGTGTGACTCTCATGGGCATGGAGGACTGCATCCACACATCTCTGCAATAACTCAATTAACTTATTAATAAAGTCATCTGGAATGGCAAAGAAAGCGTTCTTGCAGGACTCCCAGAGTTTATCCAGATTCTTGGATTCATCTTTAATGCCTCCTCATTCATCTTACCCCAGACATGCTCAATAATGTTCATGCTGGTGACTGGGCTGGATAATCCTGGAGCACCCAGACTTTCTTTTCTTTCAGGAACTTTGATGTGGAGGCTGAAGTATGAGAAGGAGCGCTGTCCTGCTGAAGAATTTGCCCTCTTCTGTGGTTTGTAATGTAATGGGCAGCACAAATGTCTTGATACCTCAGGCTGTTTATGTTGCTATTCACTCAGCAGATCTCTCGCACACCACCATACTGAATGTAACCCCATTCATTCATTTTCTTGTTGGCTTAGTCCCTTTATTAATCTGGGATTGCCACAGCAGAATGAACCGCCAATTTATCCAGCACGTTTTTATGCAGCGGATGCCCTTCCAGCTGCAACCCATCTCAGGGAAATGAATGTAAACCCAAACCATAATTTTTCCTTCACCCAAACTTTTTTTTGCAATATTTGAGATGATTGTGGTGCAGTTCAACAGATGACTCATCGCAAGAAAATCGACCTTCTGCCACTTTTCTAGAAATTAAGTTATTATTTTTGCTCTTACAACTGGGACTGACAACAAGACTTGTCAGGTAATATTTTTTGCCAAAAATCGTTTTGCTCATGTTCCATGAGGAAGTTTTGTAAATGCATCCATTAAAACAGTTGTTAGATTAGTAATGTATGAACTTGATTTAAGAAGTATTTAGTGTTGTTTTTTGAACCCTCTGATTTCAAATGGTCAAATAGTTTTATCTCTGGAAAAATATTGTACTATCTATACAGTTGAAGTCAAAATTATTAGCCCTTACATTTTTTCTTTCTTTTGAAAATATTTTTTTCCAAATGATGTTTGACAGAGGAAAGAAAATTTTCACAGTGTGTATGATAATATTTTTTTTATGCAGAAAGTCTGATTTGTTTTATTTCAGCTAGAATAAAAGCAGTTTTAAATTTTTTAAGAACCATTTTAAGGTCAATAGTATTAGCCCCTTTAAGCTTTTTAGATAGTCTATAGAACAAACCATCAATATACCATCACTTGCCTAATTACCCTAACCTGCCTAATTAACTAGTTTAGCCTTTAAATGTCACTTTAAGCTGTAAAAAAAAGTGTCTTGAAAAATATCTATTCTAATATT